TTCAAATGATGTCCAGTTCAATAATTAATGAAAAATGAAGAATTTGAGTTTATGCACAAGTACAGTAAGTAGTACATATTTTATACGTCAAAATATAAATACAAAGCAAAAATAATTTGGGAACGCTTGAAATAAAAAATGACTAATTAAAATTTTAAATTGATTATCCCATTTTCTGTCGGCTATCTCGAAAATGTAGCTGAATTAATTGTGTTGTTGCCCGTCAAGATAAGCCTCTAGGGGATCGCTTATTATGATTATGATTCGACATAAATCCGTATAAAAACAAAAGCATTAAAATATTCAACAGCAAAGTCTTCTCTTGCAGCCACGTTATAAACATTGCATAAGCATAAGCATTGCATTGCATAAGCTCCCGAGTTAGTAATTTTTTGCGATATAGTTATAATTAGTGGCAATGTTAAGAAAGCGAAAGCCTGTTAAATAATATGTATTTTAAATAGATACAAAAAGAGTTACTTTTCTTTTAAATATGTCATGATTACTTCTAGCTCAATAATATTCGAATTAAGATACACAAGCAGAAAGTTCATAATAATAAAAAATACTCTTAACAGTTATATGCATAGACAGAACAAAATATTATATTTAATCAATCTTTCTAGTTCATGTGATTCCGATTGGACAGGACATTATGATAAAATAACAGGCAATAACTACCAAAAATTATTGTCTCGAGAAAATGATTGCAAAAAACTCATCTCGGAGCAAATGATCGAGCGAAAACAACAAGGAGACAATACATATTTCATAAATCCTCCGGCAACCACAATCAGAGCATAATGCTATTATAAAATTCTTTCCGGTATTGGCGAACTGCCAAAATACCAATACTTTTTGCACTAAGTTCTCAATACGAACGGGACTTTTCACTTGTTCCGCCAAACGTGGCACAACCACGTTAACAGCCGTCACATTGTCTTGATTAACTTTTATTTGTTTTGCAATTTTTTTTTCAACGAAATTAGCTGATTTTGAGATAGGTAGTATAGGTGTTTTTGAAAAACCGCAAATTAATCTTTGTTATTTATATAAACATTAAGATTTTTTCATTCCAAACCTATGCTGGCAACTATGAAACCCTTGGAGTATTACTGTCAATTGGAGACTTTTTTGAATTTAGTATTAATCTTTTGAAAGACAAATATAAATTTTAACTAACCTAGAACAAGGTATAGCTTAACTAGGCAACGCCCAATTTGTCGAATCGCCTAAGCAAGTTAATTTAATTCCAAATAAACGTTATGTTCTTAAGTTTTGCTTATATGTACTCTGTCTTGTAGCTATTTCATCTGTAGTTCCTAGTCATTGGTGAAATGCAATTACACCTTGGGCGATTACCATATATTTAGGTGACAAATTTGGGCGAATTTAAATTTAGTGAAAACCGGCATATGTAATTTGGTATTTTCAATGAGGAAACGACGTGTCAATTTAGGTTCACAAAGAAATATTTCCCTTGCAAATAAGGGAAATGTCAATTCGGTAATAGATATGACCTGTTTATTAATTTTAACCGACATCATAGAAAAAGAGAAGAAATCCGACTGAATCTTTTTCCCCGTTTTTGGATATAGGTTCCAATATCTTTAACAGAGGTAGATCGATTTTAATGAAGTTTTTTTGTATGAAGAGTATTATTTCCAAGAGGGTTATAAAATGTATAATTTCATTCATTGTAAAACAAAAAAATAGGTCAGGCACCTCTGACCTTGATAATACAGAAAAGCCATATCTCTTTCAAAAAACTAAACAAATTAAGTACAAATATAAAATCGTAGTTGCAATATGAAATATCTAGCTATGCCTTACCCTACATTTATTATACCTGAATTGAAACATAAGTGGCAGTAATCTCAACACATATTTAATTCCGAACCATAAAATCTACCACACAATCCATCGCTTCAAATGTAACTTTTATCGAAGCAAATTTTATTGTCTGTTTTACGACTTCTTATTATTTCTAAAGAACAAAGTGAATATATTATTAGCATATTGAAGCTAAGAAAGTTTCCAAACTAATTATCGCGGCGCACTTGGCTTGTATCGATAGACATTATAAAAATGCAAATGTCTAGAGGAATTTGCATGAGGCGTACTTCTCAGAATAATTATCAAAAATTAACATCTTTTTCGCGCGTCAACTTTCAATATAAAAAAAGATATAAAGCTTACTTAGTTCTAACATAATAACCACATACATTATATTTTTATATATCAATTGTAGTGGAACGTTCTAAAAGAATATAATTCATTACGATTGATATTGTTTCAATCGAGGACTTGCATGACATTCTGTTGTCAGTTGCAGAGTTCTATGAGAAAGGAATGGTCAGTTAATTATTGTTGACGAGCAAATTCATCAACGTATATAATGTTATTATTATATTTGACCTGAATAATTAGATATATAATTCAATTTTGATAGATAATAAATCGTATTTTTGATTGACAATAACATCATTATTATATTTGAAAACTAATTAAAAAGGTAATACCTGAACCATCGTGAGAAATACACACTGTCATTGGATAGTTATTTGAATATTTTATTATTAAAAAATATCTAGCCGAATTCGCAAATGCATTTCATTTTCTTTCATTTCAATTTGAATATAGAGGCATAAATGAAGTCAGATTTTTTTCATTCTGTCTAAAGCAATAACATCTACTATGAGTATAATAACAAGCTTAAAGATGTAGTTCTGTAAATAACTAGATGGACAGTATTGATATATCAATGGAAAATGAATCAAATAGTCTTTCAGAGTCTACTTACATACTTTAGATAATTACTTCCTTCGAGTAACCTTTGTGCAGAAACTTACATTCGATTTTAGGCGATATATTGTGTGAATCAATTTGATTCCAATGTAGATTGACATAAGAGATTTGATTTTCTCTGTAGCATTATTTATCGTATTACCATGATATTGAATCGTTTGCCACCCTAAGCAATTAGAGCATTTTCACCCTTTTTATAATACCTACTCCGCAAAATTTTATTCAGCTTTTGCCAAGTAAAAGTAAACGGACGGAAGTTAAAATAAACGGACGCAAAGAAAAATCCGTAACAATAATTTTATTCCACTGAAACCAATTTATTATACTTAAAGTCTATTGTACAGCTTGCGTAATAAAAAATATGATTTGTTGTTTATGCTGTTGTTGTACGATTTTAATTTGCTGTTAACCTTACCCTAATATCGACTGTAGTTTTTTATATCTATAATAAACAACATTAACATTTTAATAGGGCATTCTTAAACATACTGAAATATTTTCTAGAAATATTAAAAGGCAATTTCCTCCCGAGATATTTTATCGGGTTGGCTAATAAGTAATGAGCGTTTAAATTTTTATTTTCTAGAAACTTTGAGTAGGGTTGAGAACGTTCTATGGCGGGGGATATTTAAAGAGTGAATCGTGATCATCCACGCCAGTAATACTTCGAATGTAACTTCAACAAAAAAACGAACGATATTAAAACCAATGTCCGACATTGTTAATTATATGAGTACCAATCTGGCCATTTCGCTGCAGAAGTTGCACGAAACATATGCCAATGGGTAGCTAATGACGCAATCTACGAGGTAATAGCAAAGTGTGGTTCCACTGATTCCGCAATGTAGACTATTCCTTGATAGATCAACCGAGGTCTGGGCGTCCAATAGAACCAAATATAAATAAACTGAAGACGTTAATTGGAGAAAATTCTAGACTGTGGAGCTTGTTTGCTCTCATGATATGACTGAAAATCATTTGCATGCATTAGGATAGTCTTACAAATTTGGTGTTTGGGTACCCCATCAGCTGACCAAGGATCAACTCGCTTACCATGCAGAGATATGTGAGTGAGTATTATCATTTCGTCGTACAACTGGCTAGACGTCACTAAACGAAAAGTGGGTTATGTATGTTAACCATACATGCAAGCACCAGTGAGTAGGCCGCAACGAACCAGGTAGAACTGGCTAAGTTTGCCACTGGGAAATTCTTCCTGTCAATACCACGAGCGAACGTGTACTGTAATCGACTATATAATCTAAAGCTTGAACTTCATCGTAAGCGTCCACAACATGACAAAATATTTTTACTCTATGATAATGCCCGACCGCATATTGCTAAGAGTAAACTATTGGGGCTGAACTGGGAAATAGTTCCACATTCTCCGTCTTCACCGGACTTAGCGCTAACAGATTTTAGTTTATTCGGGTCACTTAGTGAAAAAAGCTTTCATGATAAACCCCAATCACAAGAGTACATAGATGACTTTTTCAAATCCAAACCGGCAAAGTTTTATAGAGACGTAATTCAATCTTTGCCTAATCACTGGCGTACAGTAGTAGATAACGACGTTGATTACATTGTGAATGATTAGACATTATTTCATAAATAAATAAATAAAAATTTAAGTTACGAGTGTCGTTCATTATTTATTAGCAAACCCGATCAATTATTCTTTACATTATCTATCTATTTGGTTGGTTTAATTTTCAGATATTCTTTGGTTAGTTTAATTAATAGAAAAACGCTGTAAATGTGGTTGTTTTTTTAATGTTAAGCTGAATTTACATTATGTGTAGTTGCATGAAACTAAAATCTAATTCCTAATTTCGTGAAACTAATTTTGATACATGTGAAAATACTAATTATAATGGGGTACAAACAGTATCTTTGACACTGGCTTCGTCAAAATTAAAGCTTGCTTTGCGCAGATAATGTCGCTAGTTCACGACACTAGTTTTCATTTTCGCTACGTAATTCGAGGTTAAATTAGTTGCGTGAAAGTAGTTTCATCAAAAACACACGCATACTTTAGTGTCTTAAAACTTTTCGGTCATTTCCACGTGCAACTGCTTGCAAAATTAATGGAATGAAATCAATTTCATGCAACTACTTTGCTAATGTTAATTAGGCTTTAGCCATAAGAACTAGTTTCATGTTATTTAAAATTTTTCTACTTTTTGTTACAGAAACGAGAAATTTTATACGTGTTGTGACGAGCCCTACTTAGATATCACATTCAACATTACCATGCGGAGAAAAACGTTATTCTACACAGTGAACATCATTATCCCGTGCATGGGGATATCCTTCCTCACTGTCCTCACTTTTTATCTGCCTTCGGATAGCGGAGAAAAAGTATGTACATTCTAAAGAGATTATTTACATTTTTAAATGAAATTTTATACATTCTTGTTATTTTTTTTTTCAAAAATTTTTTTTTTTATTTGTGTTTGTATATAAACAATATAGTACTGCCAATATTTGTTTACAATAGCATTTCAACTTAGATAATACAACTTTAACGAAAGATGTGTTTTAGCTTCAATTTATAAATTCTCATTACACATCTGTGCTGTCTGTTCAATTTATAAATTTACCATTAATACTTTTACTATTTTCAACTTTTGGTAATTTTAGTACAAAAAACTTTTCATAATATAGAAAGAATTTCTCATTATTGCATTTTACAACTTTAGGGTTGCTAAGTTTAAGTAATGGCGTTCCAAAAACCGATGTCAGAAACAAAGGGTACATATCTATACATAGCATAAAATAGAGTCGCATCCTGCTGTCTGTAAGCTGAAATCTTTTTACTCACACAATGATTTTAAAGTGATTTTCATCGATAAACAGAGTGATTCCAGTCAAGAGTAAGGTATATATCGCTGCCCCCGCAGAACAACGTGGTAAAGCTACATTACGACGTTTTTAAGGTTTTCCCATTTTTAGCTTCTAGGATGCCAATACTATCATCTAAATTTTTTTTATATCTATTTTCTTAAAATTGACATAATTATTAACTAAGACAACTTTTTTCTAGGGATCACTGTTAAAAAATATTTTATGAGAATAAAATAGAAACAAGCAAGTACAATGCAAATGTTTCTATCTCTGTTACGTATTAATTGATTGCGACCCTATTCCAGAACATTATCATACCTGCGAACCCAGTAAACCATTTTACGACTATTTTCTGATAAAAAATATACGCCCTATACGCCGTATTTGAATTTACCGCTCCATGTATTTGAGTCATGTTGTCGTACATTTAACTTGCCATTATTCTTGATATTAGAAAAATATGCAAATGTTACTTTATAAAAATATGAAACAATACCACTTCTTGCATTTTCATTTCAGTATCAAAAAATGATATTGAAAACCTCAAACATGATGACAGTAGCTAACTGAATAATATCGCGCGACAAGAAAGTAATTCGGACTTGTGAAATTTTTCTAAGAAAATTATCTCCAGATTTATATTTATTATTTATATTTATATAAATATTTCAGAACGATCAGTTTTGCCCCATATAAAAAATTATCTAAATAAAAATAACAATGCAATTAAAACACCTTCAACGATTTCCAATTTATCTGAAGAATTTGATCGAAATTATAATGAGAAAGCTACAGTGAATGATGAATGTATTGATAATATAAACAGCATAACTTTCTTGGATTTCGATGATTATATACGACATAAATGATCACAACATGAGCACTCAAAGTGAGTCCAATACTTCAACAATAATATTTCAAACCACTAGCTTAGAAAACATCCACGAAGTTAGTCAGAACAACGGTGTAAATATTGCATAAAAACAGAACGTATCTCAAAGTCAGTTGGAAAGCCTATTGAGGAAGATGACATTTTAAAGTATCAAAATTCAATACAAGAAGTAGAAAATGAATCTGAGATAGGAACTAAGTCCAAAGAAGGAAATAAACCTAAAGAAGAAAAACAAATGGAAGAAGAAAACAAGTCTGGAGCAGAAAATAAGTCAGAAGAAGAAAATGGGTTAAAAGAAGAAAATATATATACCTAAAGTATATTTTTTACTAGAAAACGTAACAAAAATGAATGGCAAAATAAGAAGAATAAATTGCTTAAGAATTCCGGGCAATTTTATACCGGGGTCAGTTCTAAAAGATCCCCCAAAAAGCATTAGAGATCTTTGAAAATTAAAAAAGAAATGCTGCGAAAAGTTCACTGATAAATACAGAAAAGCTATCTTTGTGTCTTATTGGAAAATTGGTGAGCATAAAGATAATGGTAATACATTTTAAGATGCAAAAAGAGAAAAAAGTTATAACTTATTTTTTATCATTAAATGGTAGCAAAGAATAGGTTTGTAAATCTTTTTGTTTGCACACATTAAGCATATCTGAAAAAAATGTTTATACAGCTATAGAAAAGAGTAAGAATGACGAAAACATACATAAAAGGGGAACACAATAAAAACCACGAAAAATAAATATATCGACTAAACATAGCATTTTAAACGCACATCAAGCTCTTCCCTGTAGTAAAATATCTTTACACAAGAAAATAATCAAAGAGATTGTTTGTCAGAAAATTTGAACATAAGTTAAATGTATCGCCTGTATAACGAGTGGTTTAGTAATCACAAAACCGAGCACCCAGATGGGTGTACACAGAAGCGACCAAAAAACAGTATGAATTTTATTTAATAAACTTTTTGATTATTCATTTTCAAATCCAAGAAAGATCGATACTTGTGCTTTGTATGAAGAAAGAAAGGTTACCCTCAAAGAAACTTATAGATCACCCATCAAGATCAAAGAAATGGCACAAGAAATAAAGAACAGTTGCTATATTTGATCTCGAGCAAGTCTTAAATATCTCGCAGTCAAACGTCCCCTATCTATAATTTAACCATATTTAACATTTAAATCTTCAAGTATACTGCTACGTTTGGCACTATGAAATAGATGAAAGGGGAGCTATAGAAATCGGTTGTTGTCTTTTAAATTTCATCGAAAACGAACACACAAAACAAATACTATAAATCTAAGCCATAATGTTAAACTCCAAAATACAAGGTAAAAAATGATTTTATGACATATGTAAAAGCGCTCGCAGACAAAATATATTTGTTACGGCATTTTATATGTAACAAACTTATGTGGTCAAAAATAAAACATACAGATCCTGATATACTATTTGTAAATACAATGCGATATAAATACGAAATCCGAATTTGAGCCTATAAAAACTTTTTCTAAATAAACATGTGGAAGAAGATCAAAAAAACAAATACAGTTTATTAAAGAAAGTATTTTAATTAAAAAATATAAAAGAATGCAAACAGAAATATTTAGTTGTTATTATTAATTATTTCAAAATGCCATTAATAAATAACTGATAGATCTAGAAATAAATTGTTTGTTGTTTGGTTAGTTATTTTTTATAAAAAAAAACTTATTTTTTTATGAAATACTGTTGATTTTAATATAATTTTCGGTTTTTTATAGCCTTATCCTACTATTATTATAAGTGCGAAAATTTGTAAAGATAGGTGTAAAAAAAAGGTGCAATAAAAGTAAACATGAAAGAGATTTCTTGTGCAATGTTCAAAAGTGTACAATAATAGATTATGATAAAGCGAACTAGAAAAATATAAATTATAAAGTTTAATATTTACATGAGATAATAAGTTTTTAATAATAATAACGTTATAGTTGTATTTAAAATGAAATATTAATATTTTTTTAATTGCAACCTATTGTAAAATTATGTTATTGTATTAATTTGATGCATCATCTGGTTTAAACAGAATAAGCTGGGAATAAGAACATATATTTTATTACGTTATGAATTTTTCTAGATCTTTCCCAGAAAAAAGTCGTAAAAAGCTGTTACTCACGGCGAAATAGATGTCAAAATACATTGAAAACTGTTGTTATGTTTAGTTGCCGAGTGTGTCGTAAAGGATATAAATGTAAAATAACGTTGTCACATCACTTGCAATCAGAATCAGAGAAAATATATGTGGTACATTACATTTTTCTTATTATTTCCTTGAATTACTTATTAATTTATTTTATTATTATTGTATAAGTTAGAGAAAAAAAATTATTTTAATTTAACATCAACAGAAATTATTTTGATCCAGTACTTTTTGAAATATTAACCAATTTATGTTTTTATTTTACCCTGTAAAGTTGTCATTTTTATTTTACCACGTTATTCTGTGGGAGCAGCGATATATACAATAACTTAAAACAATAATATACTTAGGATCAGTTGCACAAACGTCCATCAAGATGTAATGACGCCTTTAAGCTCTAATGAACGACTAATTAGTATCGGTAATGTCACTTTAAACAAATATTAATGGATGTTTGTACAACTGACTGTTAGTAACGTATATGTATTATGTATCTATCGTAACTAGAATGAATATTATGGATAATTGCTGTTCATGGTCTGCTAACCAATGCCGATTGCTTTAAAAAAAATTATAATCTTGCAAATAGAAATAGTCGGGATATGGCAGTGCCGACAGATATAATTTTACAAGGAGAATTAAAAAACAAAATCCTGTTTCAATCACAATATCTAACTTATATACTTGTCTTGGAAAAGAAAAAGACGTATATATATATTTTTGTGTTTATGCAGTGTTTAATTACTTTGTTCGTATAGTGTCTTTGATTGTTTGCTTCGAATACTTACTAATAATAAGTATTACTTACTACAAATAGTCAAGCTGCCCTCACTTATTGTATCCACTTAACATGCATAATAAAAAAAAAATAAACGAAAAATTAATTTTAAATTGAGTACGTTCCTAAAAACGTTAATAAAAACTCGTTAAAAACATATAATAGAGTTTAAAAGAGAGTGAGAGAGCTAATGTACTACTAACACCCGAACCCACCCTTAATAGCTCGTACGTATCATTAATTTCCTATTGCGCCATAACAAATGGCTGGAATAAGTAGATGGCAGCTAAGCACGAGTAGTGATGACGTCGTTACGCTGTGAAAAATTACGACAACGATATTGGACTAACACTGCGCACTTTGAATACCAAATGACAAAGCCTTTGGCGTCTATCAATCAATATCATTCGTGTGATATCGGTTTTGAGTCCAACAAAAGGGGATAAGAGTTTTTAAAACTTTAGTTTGTGGCGTTTTTCACTCGTAAATTTGTCGATGTTCGATGAAATATTGTAGGAAATACAATATCTCATCGAACTGCCCAATTCTTGCCAGTTTGGTTATTAAATGATTATTTTATTTGAAATAAAGTATCACATATACTTTATTGTGAGGAAACTATACCAAGAACTGTAAATTACGTTATATGTTTTTGTAAACGCATTAGAGCAGGCGACCCTTTAAAGAGTTACTAGGAAGTTAACTTTAACACATCTCTAACGCTGTCAGTTTTGCTATAATGCAATATTTTAAAAACCGTTTATGTTACAAAATTATATTTACCTATGCGTTAGTTAATACTCGATACTCAACAAGTTTATTTTTCCATAGGCAATTTAAAATAATGTAACGTAGTTTAATAAGTCTCACTGCAGACGTTAGATAGTTAGAACGCTTTGAATTTCCAAATGATCAAGATGGGGCACTTGCCAAAACTGGGTATTCTGCTATGCTAAATAACAATTGGACAGATTTCTTAATATTTATTATTTTGAGAAAAGTGATCTGCTTGCAAATTTCTTTCGGAGAGAAAAGTTTACTTGAAGAATGGAAAACACTTCTCAAACTTTTATATTGAAAGTATTTTCTTTCAAGGTAATAGTACAATATTGATGAAGAAAGTCGAACCAGTATTAACTAAAGAGGACCAACCGTGCTCGAATTTTAGCGAGATAAACGAACAGTAATTGATTTTTAAATATAGATAGGTATTTATATAACAAGACGACCCGGTGTACATATAGAATTACGAGTCTAATTATTAATAAAACTTTATCTTGTTTTATAATCAGGTGACACTGTCCATTTCAATCCTGATTAGTCTCCACGTGTTCTTCCTGCTGGTAGTGGAGATCATCCCCCCCACTTCGCTGGTTGTGCCCCTGCTGGGAAAATACCTTATATTCGCTATGATACTCGTATCTATAAGGTGAGTTGCCTTTTATGAGAATTGTTTGTAATGTAATATTTTTTACAGCTGTTTTGGAAGCTTAAATAACATAGACTGTGTCAGCAATCGTCGCATTAGGAGTAAAATAGGTTTTGTCTTGTATTATGTTTAAACCAGAGTTTTTTTTTTATTTTAAACTCTTTTCAGGTTTAATAATTCTGGGAAACCTCTTTGGTAAAAAAAAGCCGGCCAAGTGTGAATCGGACTCGCGCACGAAGAGGTCCATACCGTTATCCGTTCAATAAAGTAAAAAAATAACGTTTGTAGTAACGTTGTATGGAGTTGTTTTTCGAGTTAAATAAGTTTCGGTCGACTATTACTACTAAACTTGTAAAGCCAACTTATATAAGTATAAGTACTACTGCCGTAACGTATGAATTCTTACCAAAGACCGTTTAATAAGTAGAAGGGGAGGGATACTTCACTCTAACGATTAGCTCTTTAAAGCTTTATAAGTCATAAACGGTTTGCTAAATCGAAATATGACCTTCTCACACCCCCAATGTTTCTGAAAGACCTATCCAACAATATATATTTTTCAAGAACCATTGTATAGGTATCACTAAAATATTAAATATATTTACCACGAAAGGCTCGAAATTATTATTTATTTGTATAAAAATAATATAATGTATAAGGTGTAATATTATTATATGCCAGGACTTCGTGGGGTAGATTAGTTAAGTATACTGAACAACATTTACTACGGAAGCAACACTGAATTCACGAAAAAATAATCAGCTGTTTAATATTGTCAACGATTGTAGGTATTACAATTTTGTATACCCCGAACAAAACGGCGAACACCCAAAAGTTCGCGAGCCACAGATTAAAAAAATATTGATCTAGACGTTTGAGACCAGTCGTAATTATTTTAATAAAATTTGTTAACGTTGTCTTTGGCGAATTGATCTTTAATCAGATAGATATTTCATTTTTACAAGCGCAGCTGTGATCGCTGAGTGGCGTTATGTAACCTTAATGTAACTGTGATTCCTTTATTGTCACTGACAATCAAAGTCAAAGTCAAAGTCAAAGTCAAAATAATCTTTATTCAAATAGACTTCTTAAAAGTACTTTTGAATCGTCCAACATTTTTTCCCTACCACTCGTTCAGGACGTCTTTTGGCTGATAAGAAGAACGAGCAAGAAACTCACCAGCTCTAATATGAGTAATGACATTTACAAAAACCATGTCATTACCAGATCAATACATTATAAACAGAGATAAAAAAAAACTATGGTCTTATAATAATAACATAATCATTTAATAATAATGGAAACAAGATAATGAGTTTAGAAGTAATCACCTATCCAGTTGCTGGATCATCTCAAGTCCAAGCGTTCTTATCTGTTACATAATCGGATACCTTATAATAAGCTTTTTTAATAAGTATTTTTTTAATAGTAGATTTAAACTGCATGATATCTAATTGTTGTATTTTGCTTGGGACCTTATTGTAGAAGCGCACACAAAGACCCTTGAAAGAGTTATTAACTTTTTGCAGTCTAGTGACAGGCACCGTTAATTTATTTTTATTTCTTGTATTAAAATTGTGTAATCAACTGACGAAACCTCAGAAATGACAAAATATTTTCTCTAGAAATAATTTCCTGAATTTTCCGTGAGACGTATATGTATCAAACTATTATAGATATCACTGAATTTCTTCCACCGTCCTTACACTGCTGTTTTTAAAAAGATACGATTTTTCGCTTTCCCGACGTTCTGCCGGAACCAACGACTTGACGTACCTTTCGAAGCACGGTGGAGCTGAGATATTTGAATTTTGGTTAGCAATCCTATAACAGGCCCTCGTGCAACATGCTTTACTGCTTGCACCACAGACCGAACACGCCTACGCCTATGCCTACCACTGCGCTATATTTTTATATGGGCGATATCAATATTCTTTAAAAAAATATTATTATTAGTGTTTGTATACAATACAACAACTTTTCAATGTTATAAAAAAATATTTCCTACTCATTTTGCATCCCACAAAACACTACAACTATTTTCGACGTGACTTTTATAATGATAATTAATACTCTATACTTTTTGAAACTGTTCGAGCTCTTACCGTTTCGTGCTGCGACGAACATAAAGCGTCCACTTCTCATATCTTGTCACTAAACTCTGCAGACATCCATGTGTCCTGTGTAAGTGGGTAAATGTGTACCAAGCACTCACTCGCTTTTATTGATCTTGGCTTAACTCACGCGGTCTCTTTGACTGTGTTTTATGGTATAGGTACTCGATACTCATGGTTTAGGTGTCGGTCGACCAAAGCATCTGAAATATTCTGCCAGTTTACCAAGTAGTTCTTTTAGGACCTCGTTTTTTTATACCTATAGTAAACGTCACAGTTCATTTCTGTTGGGGTTGGTCTTCCAAGACTTTGTTCCCACTGGATACTCATAAAACTATTAAATGTACTATTACATTACTACTAAATGTAATACTCATTGTCATTATCCTTTATTAATGCATGAACTGTTTACCTTAATAGTTTATTACATTTAATGAAATATTTTATATGTAATGAAAAATGTTTACAACCGCTGGTGAATCTAAAAATAAAAAAATAAACTATTTTATAAAAATATATAAAGTAGCTGGTTTTCCGCGACACGACCCGCATAAGTTATAGCCAGTGTCACCACCATGTGATGTAGCTTCCCGTAGGTGAAATAATTTTTAAAATCGGTCCTATGGTTTCGGAGCCTATTCAATACAAACAATCAAGGCTACAAAAATCAAATCTTTCCTCTTTATACGAGGGCGGGATGATAAATAGCTAGCCTAGCATAGAAAAACTTGAACTAGTGTGTTAAAAGTATATTTATTTTTCGATAGTCTCCTTGAAGCGCTATGCACTTCATCCGTCTATGATCTAAACTTCTAAAAATGCCTTGATGCCATCCCTGAAGTGGTTTTCTTCAAGCCCTCGCTATTATTTTCAAATCTTTGTCCACCTAAAAAATTTTTGAGCTTAGGGAATAGATGAAAGTCAGATGATGCCAGATCAGGAGAATAAGCTGAGTGTGGTAGCAAATCATAATTTAATTCTTTGAATTTCGCCATCGCAGTGATGCACGTGTAAACGCGCGCATTATCCTGATGAAAGATTATTATTTTTTTAGCCAGGCCGGGTCTATTTTCACGAATACACACTTGTAATTTATCCAGTAGATCAGCATACCCTTCAATCAATATACCCTTCGAATCCCAAAATACTGACGCTATGACTTTCCCCGCTGATTTCAAGGCTTTTGCTTTCTTTGGAGCCGGGGATCCTTTTTCCGGCCATTGTTTAGACTGAATTTTTAATTTAGGTATATAGTGGTGAACCCAAGTCTCGTCTGTAGTAACAAACCGTCGCAGAAAATCAGTTGTATTGCTCTTAGAGCGGTCCAAACTTCTTGTGAACGGGTTTTTGGTCAACTGTAAGTAATCGCAGCACCCACCTTGCGGATAATTTTTTCATACAAAATTCTTGAGTCAAAATGTAATACGCCCGTTCTTTAGAGATGTCTACAGTATCAGCTATCTTGGAAAGTTTCAATCTTCGGTCAGCTAAAACTGCATCATGAATTTTGATCACAATTTCTGGAGTAGTGGCACTTTTTTGACGTCCTGGACGATGTTCATCTTGGGTGCTGGTACGGCCACGTTTAAATTCAGCCAAAAGCATTTTCTCCCAAAACATCCTTCATCTCCGAAAAAATCTCTCCACCTTTTAATCCTTTTAAATGCAAAAACTTTATCACAGCTCGTAGCTCAATTTTATCCATTTTGCTGAAAAAACAAAATAATGCTTTTTGAAATGTCAATATTTAAAAGAAAAACTATACGATTGATTTGAAATTTGGAACACTGGCAGCTAATGAGCCAATGAGTAAAATACTAAGGAGATTTTATATCGTTATTAAACAAAATATGGGTTGGGCTAGCTATTTATCATCCCGCCTACGTAATATTAGCATAGATCAAATATTAGACAACATCACATACATTGCCCAGATCCCAAATTAAGTAGTTAAAGCACTTGTATTATGGATATCTGAAACAAAAAAAGTAAGACAACATCCGAGATGAAATAGAAAAGCTCATTTTCTACATCGAACCCGGGACCTTAGAGATGTCGTCATTTTGAAAACCGTGAGCGAACATTACATTTTCCCTACAGACTGTCGTACAGCTTGCACCAATGATTCTTTAAATGATATACATACAATAGAAGATCACAATACTTAACGATTTGATAAATTTTAAGGCAACCCTCCCCTATTTGTGTCTTATAAACAAAAGTTATTATATAAATAAGGCTTTATCTCGGTCGGCTCGCTCACAATTTGCGCCATTATCATATAAATTAAACGCCTGTTTTATAAACAAGATATTTGATTTGTTCTACTCTGTCAACATTAATATCTTATTCTGACTGTTATAGAAAGACTGTATTTTTAAAAGTTTTTTTTATCTACTTATGTACGTAATGATTGCTTTATATTTGCATTTTTTATTTGAAGCCCTTATACTTCTTCTTTGCACTTTAGTACTTATTAACATTAGAAAAAAGCGAATATTTGTTTTTACTATAGAAATATTTCAATTAAATTAAGAATGAAGCAATGATTTCTGTACAAATAATTGTGGATAAAACACCGAGATATTGAAAAAATATGCATTAAAAGTAACTAATCATTCAGTTGCTTTTAGTTTTACTAGTAAATTTAGAATTTCCATAAACAGAGCGGTTTATACAGAAAAAGGTTTTATATTATGAAATGAACACAAAGACCCTTTTAATTTTACATAACGGCTAGTAGGTATTGGGTTCAGGAGTTATTTGCTTTTCAGTGCCAGAGCCACAGAAAACAAACCATGTACACGAACACGTAATGGAAATGTTATAACTAAGAAGCAAAATAAAGTGCCGTTAACTCCCATTGCGTTATTAACAGAACCGTATTATCTCGGTTGGTAAATACTGAAACTGCTTATTCAGGGCGTAAGGCGGACGCCCCCAGCAGCCCTGCGTTTTCACTGGTAGTGATGTCTAAACACATAATTATTTTTTATCGAGGAAACGTTCTTATTTCAATTTAGAACACAATTTGTAATTTAACCCTTGAATTACCACGAGTTTGCATGCAAGGCCTAAAAAGTTAAGAAAGTAAAAGTAAAACAAGTTGTAAAAAAGTAATTTAAAAGAGTATTTACAAACTTTTTTATCTTTGTTTGCTTTTACTTCTTTATTTTTTTAGCGCTTGCATGAAAACTAGTGATAAATCAGGGGTGATAGTAATAAGATTTATGAATTCCTCTGTCAGACAAAACCCTTAAAACAGCTAAAGTGCTTGAATAAAAATTCAACTGACACACAAACTTTCTTGAAACTAGGACACCACTGCTTTAATAGTCATAATCTTTTTTTATATCTATAGTGTCGTGGCTTAAAACTATTTGTTTGCTGGCATAAACTTAGGGGCGTTACCACCATTTTTCCAAAATGAGAGAGACGGAAAAGTTGAACAATAGCGCTTTCGAGCGGTATTTTTAAAGTTCTCAGACTCTGAAAACAATGGTGATTACGACCCTAAATCGCTTGCATATTATTTTGTAATATGGACGTAGAATTATTATTACAAATCATCAAAGAATTGGATCTAAACGACGGTCTCAAATATAATTGTAGAGCGTAACCAATATTAAATATACCTCTCTAGAACTAGTTGTATGACAGTAATGACACAGCAATCATTTTATGGTGCGTAAAAGTCGTACATGTTTAACTTTGTGATGCTTATTCACCAGCAAATTAAAAATTCATGACTTTTGGTGTAAGAATAATTTTTATAGACTCGATAACAACAAAGTTGTGACCAATACAAAATTTTAATTTTAATTTTTTGCCTCTCCTGAAAAGTCATGTTTTGGTGATTACGCCCTTTAAGCCGCTAGGTATCGATATGTAACAACATTAAACTTCAGTGTATAATGCAGGTAATCGTCTCCTCTTCTGCCTTCCTGAAGACATAAACATACCTGTATATAATAAGTTTTGAGTTCATGATCACGGTCTTCTAACTAGAAGAACCGTACTTTAACCGTATTTAAAATCTCTTCCTTGATCAGTGTCATAAATTATAGGAGTAATAAAAACCGAAGACACATCACTACTGTGCTATTCGCCATCCCGCCCTACGATTACCCTCACCCAATAAATCTTGATTAATTGCTATCTCCCACATTCTACATGTGTATATTAAAACTATTAGGCACTCGTAACCGGCTTTCCTATTTCGCTTCGTCATGAAGTTTTGTTGATCTTATTCAGAACCAACAGACTTCTTATAATGAGAATCGTCTATAAGGTCATATATTATTTTCAGCTGTTTTCAGGGTTGGCTTATAGATCGAAATGCTTTATTTGTTGAAAATATTTTATATAACTCGGCGGTAACGAAAAATATGGGCTCCACAAAAAACTGCTTTTTTTTAATAATAACACAATCGTCCTATTCGAAAACATCTTTTATTCAGCGTGTGACCACTACCCTGGTATCATTGGAATAGTACGTAAGTTTCCAAGATATCTTAGATACGTTTTTCTCACTTTTATATAAAGACATAATAAGATTCCTCTAGTAAATACCGACCCATCTTCCCTAAAAATTTTTATATGGACAATATATATTACGAAGGTTCATTTAGGTTATACAGCTTTTACTAGACACACAATCTTGTGAAATACGAACAAAACAGTTTTCAAAAAGGCAAATCAACTACTCTAGCTGCCTTTTCAGTTATAGATCAAGTGGTTGAACATATTGATACACGTTACCCAATAACAGCTGTATTTTTGTTATGATCAAAGCTTTCGATTTTATTTCGCAATATTTGCCTTAAAAGCGAAAAGTATGATATAAGAGGAATAGCGTTAAATTGAAATAAGTCCTATCTTGAAAACAGAAGACAATATGTTGATGTATCCAATAAAGATAAATATAGAACGTTAAGAATATTTCAGTTAGATATAAAAACAAATGGTTCTAGTGTGCCTCAGGGAAGTATTCTGGGACTACTACTTTTTTAATTTACATTAATGACCTCCCTGACGTTACAAATTATTCATGTCTTTTGTTTGCGGATGATGTATCGATGGTTGTTCCATGTCTTCATTTAGATGCCTACAACCAAGAAATAAACACAACGGTGAAACTTATTATAAATTGGTTAAAACATAATAAGCTAGCTGTCAATATTGAGAAAACGAAAGCCATCCAATTCATTAATAAAAATAGAAAAAAGAAAAGCATGGAAATATTGTACGATGGTCAGCATATCAAAGAGACTTAGAGAGTCACATTTCTTGGGTTAACACTCGATGATAAGTGCACATGGGAAAACACATAGAAAAGTTATGCAAATAATTAATTCACATGTATATGCGCTATGGAAATTAGGGAAAATTACAAGCAAATAAATCGCTCTTCAGGCCTTCCATGGACGGGTTTGCTCAATTTTGAGATATGGCACACAAGGAGAGTTCTCATTACTCAGACGGCATACATCCGTGCCATATATGACGTAGACGTTTTGGTCTCACGTAGGCCTTCATTTAAGGCACTTAATATTTTGACTGTAACATGTTTATACATATTTGAAATATGTGTCTTTGTCACCCAGAACTGTAATATAATGAAATATACGAATTTTCGTATATTTTCGAAACGCTAATATGACTCCAAAGAAACGCATTTTTCGATAATTTATGATGCTACAGAAGTATGATCTGATACTGATGCTCAGATACTGATAATCTTCAGGGATATGATTAAAAAATATATTTTCCGAATTTTCGTTCGAGGACAAATAGAATAGGGCTTCAGGTGTCACGTTAATCCGCTCGAGTTATATAATAAAGATAAATTGGAGCAATATAAATGAAACGAGGAGCTCAATGACGCAGTAGTTAGGGAGTACGGTCTGGCACAAGGGCCGATCATTCGATATCCATCTAAAAGCTAAACCATAAATTTATTATCTTAAGTTTCCCCGTACTGGAAAGGCATGTTTAGCCGATGGTCCCAGCTGCATCAGTAGTCATTCACACCCACCAATCCGCATTGAGCCCGCATGGTGGGTTATAGCCCATTTTGCCTGCGCCCCAGCAGTACTGATGATGATGAGCAAAATTACGAACAAATTAAAATTAAGTATCGAAGAACCGTAATTATATACAAATTGTCTTTAATAAATTCAAGTTTAGATTACTCATCTTGCGTAGTTTGATAAATAAAATGCACACTAGTTGAATTACCAACAACTTATCCTTCTTGGAAAATAAATTATACCTATACGTTCCTTTTATTCGCAGTATATGTGTTACGGTGGTGGTGCTGAACGTGCACTTCAGATCTCCGCAGACGCACCGCATGGCGCCGTGGGCAAAACGGGTGTTCATACATATATTGCCAAGGTTGCTGTTCATGAAACGACCACAATATAAGTTCGACACTACCAGGTAAGATAATTTATATTAAAGTGTAAAATGTACGCTTGTTCGAGAAAAAAACCTCAATATTTTCTTTTTTAATATCAGCAAAATATAAACATAAAAAAAAAAATATTTGAAGAAAAACTTAAGTTTGATCGTTTTACAATCCATTCGCCAGTGTCGTATGATATACGCCCGATGTATTTATGCTCTCACTCATCTCTTCGCTCATATAAATCTTAGTTATAGATCCTTATTAGCCGTAATCATTTAAACACGCTGATCTTAAAAACTGATGTCTTAATTTTTTGCTTAAAGTGGTTTATGTAAATACATTCCTGAATAAAATCCGTTACAATACTTGGGTCCACCTACATTAAAAAAATGTTAGATAAAAAATTTTGCTTAGTCATTGAACGTCGCATATTTGTATTTTTCTTAAACCGAAAATTTACTACTCTAAATAACTCTAATTCGATTTTGCTGCGCTCACTCCTCGATCAATCCTCGATTACCTAGGTATCGAAACTGTAACCTTTAACTAACTTTACTGTGTTCGAACTACATCGATCTTAATCAAACAATCGGAGCAAAATCGTAAAGTTCTGTGAACTTTGATTGGGCTAAAGTGCGATGTGGTTATTAATCTGTGCTCTGTCTGATTTATAAACTGTAAATTAATTACTGTATCTATTAATTGCGGTTCGCATTCCTTCCCCTTCAATTATGGCTCTAAACTTTTGACTCTTAACTTGTTTTTGGGTCATTTTATTCATTATAGGTCAAGAGAAAACACTTAAAGTTTAAAAATTAATACAAAACGTATTTTTATTTACAAAACGTTATTATGAAACGTAGTTTTCGTAATCAATTAAACGACAAAAAAGCGCAATATAGAATTCCGTAGTTATTATATTTTCTACCTCTTTTACACAACATACCTTTTCTAACACCTCTTTTAAAAAAACTTTAACTTCGTTTATATTACTTACTAATACCGTGAACTTTTTACGTACTTACTGTGAAATAACCATTTACCCTACTAAAAGCGTTATTCTGGCTAAATTTTTCAAACAAATCGAAAATACCTCCATAACATTTTTTGCAATATAACTATGAATATACCCTCGCTTACAAGAAAATAATTTCTACATGCAAGAGAACTTAACAGTAGATTTATCATACAATTTTCACTATGCTATGCTGTTTATGTTTTTTCATTACTAATGTTGTTATGTTCCTATCAACACGGCACTCTAAATTTTTAATGTTCTATATATTTGGGAACACGATTCTTGAAGAAATCATAAAATTGTAAAAAAAAATCTTAAAAGAAAAGAAAAAAATCTGACTATTCAAAATAAGATAGACCATTGCCATCCGAAATTATAATGACTATTCTAAATTTTAAACATTTATTTCCTCTACTACCGCCCTTCCAAACTATTGATATAAACGAAGTTTCATCAACATTAAGCACAAAGGCATTGTGCCTTCGCTCTACGGAGCGGGTTTCCATATCATAATCCACTTATTGAATGGTGTATATTAGCGCGGCAAGTGGTATAATAGTGGGCAGTCCCGAATATTACGTAAATGGTCAGAGCGGTATTAGGCGTAACTTGCAACCATCAATACTGTGTATCAATAAAATAAATACAATCTGATATACTATGGGATATGATAAGCAAAATATGTAATAATTTGCTTACTTTAAAATACCTATATTTTGCTCATTGCAATTGCAATTGAGCACATCGGCATCTACTTTTTACAATAGGATCCTAAACTATTAAGTTTGGGTCTGGCATAATTTGGTCATGTAACCAATAAAATCACTTGGTGTGAATAAAATCCCACCAAAAACATTTTCATGTAATATGTTACCAAGCCGAAACATATGACATGCGATGTCTAAAAATTATCAAACCTCGTGTAGAGCCAAGCTAAATTTAAATTTATTTTAATACAGCCATAGGATACATGTACGTGTTGTAAATAAAATATATGATTTCGCTACCATCGAATGGGGTAAGATGAAAATTAGTTAATTACTTAATTTATATCATATGTCCGTTTTCAGAAGTTCTATTGCATATTGCGAAATAATTCATGGTGATATTAAAAAACTTACTGAACCTCAGACCATTGTGATAATTAATTTTATATGACCTCCGTGATTTTAAACACAAGCATACAATATTTGCGGCCGATCGTCTATAGGAGCGGAAACTAAGTATGTACTTACATCCATAATTAATACGGCGGTTGCTTTTAGGAAGGATGCTTGAGCGATTTCTCATTATAATAAGGAAGTATATCAAAAAAAAAAGGAAGTACTAAAAAAGTACCTCATTAGATGGCGACTTAGCAAAAGTCGAATGGACCAAAGATAATAATTTCCGTTCCTTTTAACTAACATATTAAAGAACTGAAATTAGCAAAGTTCGAAACTTAGATATCACAAATACGAATAGGAAAAAGTACAAATAGAATATGAGTTGTTTATTGAGTTTTCTAAATTTATTTACTTTTATACATGAAAGAAAACCGGAAGGGTTGTCATGAAGAAATCATGAAAGTACCGTAGCGACATCTAGTTCGATTTCAAGAAGTAATGTTTTTTTTTACTACTTCCTCATTACAGTGAGAATGATCACCCTGGCCACTCAGAATAAAGACGGAAATACACTTTTCTGTCATGTTACATAATCCGCATGCTTGCCACTTGCCGCAAAGTCCAAACTACAAACGTGGACACGTGCGACGAATTTCCTTTGGAAATCAATACGACATAAGTATAACTGTGGTTCCACTTTAAAGCTCCTATTTTTTCTTTATTGTAGTCACATATCTTAAATTTCTTCATTAAAATTTTATATAGTAACTTTCACCGCAGAGAACTATTTAAATTATATGCTCTTGTGTTACAATAATGAGGAACGGGGTTTCATCAAAACATATAAAAATCAAATTTCAGCACGCGTAGCATGACGAACTCGAGAACGTTTTGTCTACACTTAAACATCACTTTTCTCGGGTGCGCCCATACTATATCTCACTCTCGACCCGAGAAACTGACAAATGAGTGTAGACAAAGCGTTTCTCGAGTTTGTCATGCTACGCGTGCTGATTAACACAATAGAAACGTTGCCACTGGCCGATTAGTTTCCAAAAAAATAATTTTATTCAATAGATATTTATCTATTATTGCAATTTACATAATACAAACTACATCAATTAGTGATATATCTTGTTTTTTAGCATCCAACCGCGGGCAAAACGGCCTACCTCTTTTCTGCATGAAAAACTTCATAACGCAGTATACGCTATTCTTCTAACATAAACACAAACTAACAAGTCTAAACAATTTATATATCAATATTAGACAAACACCATTATTGAGCAATTGGTACGAAAGTTTCAAGGGATCGCCATCTCTGAGGTCACGGGTTCGATTGCCAGTCGGGTCATATAGAAAATTGACTTTTCTATATCTTCGCGAATCTGGGTGTTGTGGTGGTACCTTCGTTATCTCGTTGTCTCAGATACTTAAAAATATGGGAGCTTTTACATTCATCATGTAATATGTGCAAAGTATATAATGGTATTTATTTATTATTTATTGTATAGATCACGGTATACATCATGCGGAGTGGTGGTGAGATGTGGGGGCGCCGCCCGCCCCTTGTACCCGTATAGGCTGGCGGCTGCCGACGATGACTGCTGCGCACCCGGCGCGTGGCCACCACCCGTCGCGCCACCACGCCCGCTCACACGTACACCCAGTAAAGAGGACCTCACGCACACCACATACCTTAACTCAGGGTAAGTTAACTCTACCGTCATCGCTGGATTTAGCTCCCCTAGAGCGGGATAGTTGACTCAAGTGCCAGTTTCATGGAACGCGGGATAGTTGACTTAGGTGCCAGCTTCATGACGCCAAAAATACTCATATACGATATGTTTAAAAATGTAAATTAATAACAATTTATTTCAAATGTTCGAGAGAGGGATGTCACTACATATCAAGTTTGTGTTATAGAAATTTTCGTAAACGTATTGAAAATGCGATCCTTGCGCTTGTTAAACTAGTGACACGGTTATTTTGACTCTCCTGTGAACTCTACAGTGTAGTATTAATACTTATTATGTATAATAAATTCAAAATTACAAGCAACATATCAAAATTATTTTTTATTAACCCTAATACTATTGCCTTTCGTTATTAAATCCTACGAGTATTTTATTCTTTAAAATAAAAACATTATAATCTTTGTCTAACTCTAAGCTAGCAAAGGCCTTCTCCATATTACTCCAGGATTTTTTCGTTAGTCCTGGTGATCCAGTGTTTACCGGTTATGCCAATTATCTACCTATAGTCAAAACAATTTTGTTCGGTACTGTCTCTTTTTCTTTTGTTTCGTAGTCCTGTAACTATTCTGTTATAAAAAAATTGCCTCAAACACTGTGCGTCAAAGAGATTCAATAAATGAAACCCTTAAATTCAGATTGATTTTATAACAGAATTCACTACACTAAACAAAAGAAAAAGAGGCAAACCCACATAAAAATGGTTAGACGAAATAATAGTCCTAGCCGGTAAACACTGGAGCACCAAGACTAACAACAAAATCATGGAGTAATATGGAGAAGGCCTTTACTCTCTTAGAGTTAGAGAAAAGTAGAAAAGTATAATGTACTTATTTCAAAGAATAAATACTCGTAGGATCTAACAATAATAGGCAATAGTGTTAGGTCCCTATAATGCTGCTTCACTCAAAATTACTATGGTATTATGGAGGCTCCCACAGAACAGAAAAAGAACACTATTAGAATTTTGTTGAAATCACAAACGTCTGTGGATTATGCAGCCTTTTACTTTGCTTATGAATATTCAAAGAATGTCTAAAATCGATGATATATTCAAACATATGGGCCTTGTTTTTTTATTCTTTTGTTTGTAGATTCAACATCGATACTGACGTCTGGTTTTTATATACGTAGTTAAGTATTTACTCAAGTGAATTTGTACGATATATATTCCTTTTTAATTTTACAACAATACTTGTTGAATCGAAACAAATCAATTAAAACTGCCAAATATTAGAGGTTATTTCAAGATGATTCTCACAAAATCACATATAATTCCATTTTATAGTCCAATTTATGTTATTTTTGTAAACTTAAATTTTTACTTGAACGTTTTCGTATTCTGATGTATATTATTCTAATCTGTATCTACCTATAGAAATAGGGATAGAATACCGACTTCAAAATTCTTAATAATAATGAAAAATTATTTGTTATTTATTTATTTTTTATCGTATTTTAAAACCATTAAACTTTTATATCTCCAAAACGACCCAAACAATTTGGATTCAATTTGTGCTATTACGTAAGTTGAAAGGTAATTAATGAAACGAAATAATTAATTAGGATCCGAAGTTAGATTTGCGAAAACTGCGTAACAAACATTGTACACGTATAATATTTATCCATATACATGTACTAACGTAATTCATTGCTTCATTCATTCAATGAAATCACATATATACACATCAAATTGATAACCACCTTTTTTAAGTCGGTTTATAAAAGTTCTAAGGCTATTTGGGCTATGTATAAACTCATTAATGTGTTATTTTTATTACTGCAAAAATTCGGGACATCAAGTTCAGTAACGTGAAATCAGGAGTTATAAATGGAGGCACCCCTTTTCTTCAGTGGTTTTTCGTGGGTGATCCCTGATACATCCCAACTAGTCAGTGGAGTGGAGGTTGTATTTATATGAATTTATAAAATATACTTTATTTATGTGCATTTAAGTACCCCTACTGCATATTAAACTAAATTAGTAGTCCATAGAAAGACAGAAATTTGTCAAATGATCCCTAATAACTGAAGAAACTATTTATTTGTTCAGTATGGGTGAGAGCAATCGTTTCGGTGGTAGCTGCATGGTGCACGGGTCCAATGAGGGTGTCGGCCCGGGGCTGGCGGGTATGACGGCCCCCGACGACGAGACCCTTAGTCCCGTGCCTGACCCGCCGCCCGGGTTCAGCCATTCCGCATGTCCCCCTGAAGTACACAGGACTTGCTTCTGCGTCAAGTTTATTGCCAATCACACTAGAATGATCGAGGAGTCCACTAAGGTGAGATTAGTTAATTCTACCAAATACTTTTTAGATCGTTGTTATTTAGTTTGGATTGTACCTGAATGCATGTAGAAATGTGGTCATCATTCCAACAGCAATTCTACCAATTTCCTCATTCGTTTAAAGTTAATTGAGTTCAACTTGGTGAGATATTGATGTTAATTTGTATTTGAAATATTTAATACGTAGTTCCTATTAAACAAAATTATGATGAAATTATCTGAAAATATTGTCACGTAGATAACATTCTTCGGAGCAATTCGAAAAGTCTATCTATGAGCATATACTTTGACTTACGTCCAATTGCACAAACGTCCATTACGGTTTAACGACGCCTTTAAGCTCTAATGAAAATCAAATTTATATTAGTAATGTCGCTTATACTAATGTCAATTTTAATGGACGTTTGTGAAACTGGCTGTAAATTTAGTATTTACAGAGAATCACGTCATTTAAATAGTGTAGTAAATGTAGCATTATTGTACTAAATGTTACCTATTAATTAAAAAACGCATCTCTTCAATATGTATAACAAAATAAAAACAAATCTAATATAATAGAATTAGAATAATTATTTTATATTTTGATAACAATAAATAAACGTGAAGCAATTTAACCGGGAGCTGTTTCTCCTTTTTGTCCGGTACTAAAGACTACAGGTACCTAACGTAGATACAGTAATGCAAATTTGATGACAGTAATGACTTCTAATGCGTTATGTAATCAATAAGTTTGGTACAGTATTGTAATAATTTAAGCTTTCTGTTATTCAAATGTGGTTCAAGTTCTGTGGTGCTGTCCAGTAGAAATTTTGATTTGAATTAGTTTTAGGTTATTATTTAATTGATTTAATTCAATGGATTGACTCAACTTTTTTATTAAACTCTACAATTTTCATATGAGTTATTATCTAATAAAATTCCAAATCTCTATTAATACAATATTTTTAAATACCAATATTACTAATGTTTATAGGAAAATGTAGTACAGAAACTAAGGTCGTATTTACGTATCTTAGTCGTATCTGTAAAGTGAGGAAAATAATAACAGTAACGGTTATCGTTAAACCAAATAAAGGGAAGGGTGCACGTTGTGGCCTATTTTCTCTTATTATAATTTCTTCTTGCGCTTACGGCCTCTTTTATTGGATGGCTAACTAAAATCAATGGATTTCCTCCAAGCAAATATGTATATAACATTCTTTGCTTCAGCTCATACAATCATTTTTTTTCAATTATCATTATTGTTTCCCCACTGCTGGAGTTCGTGTGACCCAATAGATTAATAGGCTGGTGATGTGTACTGTATGGTGATGTATGTGGGCATAAGCCTTCTTTAAAAATGGAATCGAATCGGAAGAATGAGCCTAGCACACACCACAGGTCAACGTCTTAACGTGCCTTGCAAAGCAACGAAGAGCTCGAAATACTACATTTTCGATCACCCATTGTATAACCGGCACATGTGAAAGTTGCTTAATTTCCGCATCACAGACCCAACTGAGCCATAGAACATCATTCTCCGGATTATTAGATTAGTTCAAATTCTTATCTTGCTAGTTCTTAAAGTAACATAACTGCAATTTTTTTTATGTTCTGATAATAACCAAATAGCTGCCCAGAAATTATTTTTCACCACCTTGACAGATGAAAATGGGAGTGGAAGTTTTATAGGTAATAAAATGATACCATAGCAATCATTGTTTACTATTTGATTTGCCATTGCAATAAATCTATCTAATATTATTTATAAATAATTTAATTATATAGCGATAAAAATTGGTAATCGTGTAATTTAAATATTATTAACTTTCAATCTATAAAATGTTGAAGTGCAAGTCATTTTATTTCCCAAAGAAAATTCTGTTTATATATTTTGAGCTATTTATATATATCAACAAATGGCGTTACGCAATGATATTACAATAAAAAGGGGTAGATAGGTTAATTGCATTCAAAAAGTGTCACCTTGAAACTATGCTAATTAGCATATCTGAGCGCAGTGTGTCGAAAGCGTTGATTATGTGCGTTTATATACCATATTCATTTTTAAAATGCCATCCTGCGCTATACGAAACTGTAGAAACTACATAAGTATGTCGACTATAGATCAAAGGATCACATTTGATTCATAAGTATACATTTTTAATTGATTTGTTTTAATACAAAAAAAAATGTCATAAAAAGAAAGAGTAAATACTCCGGTTACAAATTGTGAAAGTAAAAATTTATTTATTTACTTGACATTGGCAGAATTGTTCGAAATGTGCAGATAAGCCATTAATTAAAAAATAATTAAAAAAGAATAAGAGATCTTAATGATACATTTATTTGAAAATCTATATGAGACTGAAACTCCGGAGTTTAAATTCGGAACATCGAAATCTTACTCTGGAGCTAAAAAATACTCCGATTTCAATCGAAGCCCTCGTGTTAATATACATATTATATATCATTGTCAAGTTTATTTTATCGCTTGAAAAGCTTAATTATTTATAAACGGACAAATAATATTTACACTGAAGACAAGGAGAAATAATAGAGTAATGTGACACATCAGCATTTTCAAGTTGAACTCTTGATAGAATTCTTCAAATCGTATAGGCAAAAGTAGGCATTAAACATGCATTAAATTATTATACGTTTGGTCTGTGACATGTTCAATTATAGTCTATGAATAATTGGAGAGTATCGTGTCATGTGCATGCGTGTATGCTGGAGACAATTTTTGAGACATCATCGCCATCTTTCATTCATTTCATTTTCATTTTATATGTAAAAAATTATTTATTCACTTGACAAAGGCAGAATTGTGCGAAATGCGCAGATAAGCCATTAATAAAAGAAGAAGAAGAAGACAATTTTTGACATCGTATTAGTACTGACATGACCTATCTACCCTTTTTTATTGTAATATCATTGGCGCACGTAGGCGCAGTGGATAAGTGCCCATGACCTGCGATCGTTACTAAGTAACTTTCGCAAGGGTCGGTAACAGATAGTTCACAACGCGTTGTGGCATTAACAGAATAACCACAAAGCAAAATTCGTGTCGTAGCTATCATGCTATTGGACCCGCGATATTCCCGATCTTTATAAATAACTAATAGATATCGATGATGTGTTGTCATTGCCACAACGCGTTGTGGCAAGAAGAACCATATTAAGAGTATGCCAGAAGCGAATCACTAGTGCAACATGAAACAGCTAGCCAATTATACTCAGAACGTGTCGTGCCTTTTCTTCATTGCCACAACGTGTTGAGATCAAATAGCATGTTAACCACGACACGTATTTATGTGATTATTCTGCGATTATCACAACGCGTCGTGAGCGTTTGCATTAGAGCCATAAGACGAATTTCGCTATGTGGATTTTTTTTTTTGTGACCACAACGCGTTTTATCGCTCAATGAGCGATTTCGATCTTTGAGCATAACATATCGATTATAACATCATTTAAATAATTGCTTTGATCTCCGAGCTTAGTGGTAAAGTAGGATACTTCTATTACCACTTCTATTAATAAAATCAAAACAACGAAAGGATCACTGTAACTTTTTTTTTAATTTAAATAGAACGAAAAAATTATATGAAATCGGAGAATATCCTAGTCGTGCTACCTAATAAATTTACCAAGATTAAGTATTGATTGGTACAGGTAAAAGAAGATTGGAAATATGTGGCGATGGTATTGGATCGTCTATTCCTATGGATCTTCACTCTAGCAGTGCTGGTGGGTACAGCGGGCATCATATTGCAAGCACCAACGTTGTATGACGACCGTGTCCCGATCGACAAGCACTTCAACCAGTACGCCACCTCGTCACTTGTACGATGTCCACCGCCCGCGTAATACCACCCATATACATTCAATCCACAATGAGAGATATTGGCATTTATTTAAAATATCCCCATTTAAATTCATTTTAGGTATTGTACGGACCAATTAGACTGCATTAGCAATTTTTCCAAACCAAGAAGTATGGATTCTTAGTCGTATATACTTTGATTTTATTTTGCTTAAATATGGTAAGTATATTGCACAACTGATAAAACGGATATCATAGACTATCCTCGATACAATATTCATATTTTCCCCTGGTGTTTTGCATCATTCATGTCAATGGGACAAAGACAAACAAATATTAGCACATTCCATAATGAAAAAAACATCATGTCTTAATAAAAATTTAATAAGAGCCTAAATTATTTCTAATTCTTACTCACAATCTGTCAGTTGTTGACTACAAAATGACCCGCGTATTTTTTAGTTACGCGAATTTAAATTGTAACCATTGATCAGTGATATTACGAAAAGAATTCGAATATCATGTTATTTTAGAGTTTTACATTTTTCAAAGAAATTCAATTATGACCCAACAGTGTCATTTTATGAAATATAATACATATTTTTTTTATATTATTTGTTTTTCACAATCAACTTTATAGTTGTGTTATAATACAGTTTCGCTCTTTATAAAAATAGGCTAATAGGTATCGATGATGTGTTGTCTGAATATCTAGAATTTACCGGTTAAATTATTGTCTTTATCGAGCAATAAAATTTGCATTTACCAACGAACAATATTTATAAAAGCACTTTACCCATAATCAGTGTAATAACCGTACCAATATTCATTATTAACAATTAGCCATAAATACTTTTATATCAGTAAAAGTATTTGTGGTTAATTGTTAATAATTTAAAAGTAAACAATGTGCTTTAATGGGGATTTTTCTGTATTGATGCCATTCTTTCTCAACTGCGATTTCTACTCACGAAAATGTGGCGCCCAAATGTATTATGGATTCACAAATTCTTAATTTGAAATAATTACCAAATGCAGCGTATAATATATATATATAAATACATAATATTGAAAACAGTTTTTTTATTTCATAACAGTTGTGCATACAAGATTGGCTTATTTTTTCACTAGACAGTGACACAGAAGAGCGCGTGCTGAAACATTGTTTAACATGAATAAATAATGTAACCGACCATTTCTGGAAATATATATCTTGAATAGCTATTCAACGCCACTATTCGACGCCACTATTAATTCCTTTTTAGCTTAAAAGGAATTAATAGTGGCGTCGAATGTCATTTTATTATCTTCGATCTTTTATAATGCCAATTGTACTTAGCGACGTCCTTCTTACTCGGGCATCACATTATCGGGAAGATTTTCAACATTTCGTGGTATTACAGTTACAATGCAACGGTTACCTCAAATATTTATGTAAAATATCAAAAAATTCTTTTCGTTTAATTTCATATATGTACCTACCTCGTTAAATTGCAATAATTAGTAAAAGTAGAAACGATTAATAGACATTTTATATAATGTTATCTTTTTATATTAAATATCCTTGGCTACAGCGTCGTTTTTGTTACAATGTAACATGAAAGTAGTACAAATATTATGTTGAGCTTGATCAGTATTAAGTATTCCAATAATGTTCTGTCACGATTTCAAGAAAGGCTAACCTTAACATAAATGTCTACTGCTTCTAAATGATTATTTGTTAACATTAGTGATGATTTTAAAGATCAAGCGTTATTACCTACTGTTACTTAAGTATTCTTTTATTAAAAGAGCTATTTACATAGTCAAAATTGTATTTACTTTTATATTCATGAGATTTTATATATATATATATATATATCAATATTTTTATCCAATTTTTAGTACAATTTAAATACGTATGAGAGACAGACAAGCAATACGTATAAGGTGACCGTCGCATCATTAATACTCAACGCACACCCGTCCCGACCGTTACGTGTTCTATTCCACGACACGTACTATAATAATTATACTTAGTACTATACACTTAAGAACTATTTCTCATATCTCTTCTTACAATCTTGCACTATACTAACATTAATTATACTGAAGTCTATTATAATTCACATTAGGTTTAAATTCATTTCAAAATCAAAAATGCCAACATTTGTGACAATAAATCATGGCAAATGCCGACGTTTTTGTTATGTCAAATCATTCTTGTGAATTGTAGTCAGCGTCTGAATGTTCTCAAATTTGTCACGTACGGGGAAAGGGACCAAATGTTATCTTGCCTGATGACAAAGACCCTTTTCCTTTATGTTTTAAATCCAATATGCCATCTCCGTCACAATTCACATTTGTTAATTAAGGTATACGACGTTAAGAGTATTTTTGCTCCGAATAAAATTATGCCCGATCAATAATAAAAACACTTTGCTACTAAGGTGGGTGGATCATTGAAGGCCACACTAACGAATAAACAACTTTTCTTAGTTCATTTACGAATTTAATGAAAGAAACTTATTATTAAGTAATTCTTTGTTTTATAGTGTATCGTTTCTTTTGAATATTACTTTTATTAAGATCTTCCAAACGGCCTTGCAAGAAACAGGCCTCCATGTAAGGCCAATATTATAAATCAGTCGCTCAACTTAAAACAAGAGTTGTGGTTTAAAATATCCTTTCTTTCTAAAAATACATAGAAAGCTCTTTCACTTAAACCAGGTATGGGCAACCTTGCACATGTTATGGGCCAAACTTTAGTGTGGAAATACATTCGCGGGCTGCGTTTAAAAGTAGTACATTCTAAAGTAGTGTTATAGTGCTCATAATTTTTTGCGATAGATATCAGACATGAAAAAATACGACAATGTTATTATAAATTAGGTTTTTCAAAATATCTCGGGGGCCGGCTGTTGCCCACCGTGGATATAAACGGAAACCATCGTTAAACTAAGAATATATTAATGGAAACTATTTTCAAATTATAGTATTCAATACAAGATCTCTAACAAATCAGTCAGAATAAAATTATTTAAAAAAATACACCTATAATGGCCGTCTAATGGTTCCATTCTTTGCAAGGTCAAAATATTCCTTTGAAGACCAAACTAACAATTATTATCGGTGACAAACTTTCTAAGTTTATACTAATATTATAAAAGGGAATGATTTGATATTTTGTTTGTTTAATCATCTGTTCAATATATTTACTGTAGATATATTTTTAATCAAATAATTTTAAATAATAATAAAGTAATAACTTTTCTATTACGCATTTATAACTAGAAACGAAATGTGCATATTTCTATGTTTTGCAAATGTTCGTTGTTAAATCTAGGTACCCTAGCCAGGTCAAATGCACGGGCAAAATCAATTTTTTCATTGACCTTACAAGGAAACACAGGCCTTCATAGAAAAACTGAAGATATATTTACTGAAATCGAAACAAAATCATTATTTCTTCTTTAGGTCACTAATAATATGGAATCATAAAATATTTTAAAAAACATAAAAATAATATTGTAATAGGTTATTAACATTAAAAAATATTTTTTGTTGTATAAAAATTACAATTTTAACGTCAACGATCGAAGTCTAAGCGAGTGACTTCACCTTCAAATTAGCGTCACATAAGCGACTTGCCGTTTCGTCTGTGTCCTTAGGTTTGATAAAGCTTAGTGTGAGTGGAAGGAATTTGTCATCATATGACAATAATTAGGATTTTTTATGGTTGGCCTTCGAAGGAACATGGCCTTTCATGGTCCAACCACCTTATATGTTATTTTTGTAAAAAAAATTAAAACCTTTTTTTCTTGAGCCTAGATACGTTTTTCTTAGTTTATTTTGGCGCTTACTTTATAAAACCTATTAATATTCATAAAATTGAAAAATTATAAAATTGCAATAAATAAATAACAATTACCTACTGATAGGTACCAAAATCATAGTACCACGCTTTGACATATATGCATACCTGCGATTTACATATATAAGTTGCATTCTAAATAAGTTATCGTGGAATTTTGTAATGACAGATTTTTATTACTTCACATAGTTACTCTGCTGTTATATTTTTTGCAAAAATACCCTTTTGGTGGTGAATCTTTACGCTAATTGATTATCAGTGGAAAAAATCATGATAGGTACCCTTATTTGTATAAGTTTATTTACTTTAAATGCGCATTTAATTCACAACTAAGTTGTACCAAACCAAGCAATATTTGAATCGCAATAACTATTTATTTTATATTACCTAAATTAAGTACTGTAGGTACACATAAAAGTATTACATATTGAAATGGTAAAAATTTCACAACCTTATCTATAGTTTAAGAGTAATAAAATAGTTTAAAATATTAGATTTAAGAAACGAACGAAACACCACCAAATTAATATTGTCTGTGTTCAACAACAATTTAGCTGATAGTGACTTAGTAAAAATAGCATCATTACAATACCTACTTATGCTCCATTGTTGCAACATACATAATATCCTATGCACACCTCGCTTGTTCTCTAAGATCGCGTCTAGTTTTATTTGAGGCGCCATAATTGATGTTAGCGCTTACATAGGCATCGAAGTCAGGTCTAATCTAAGTGTAGGCAAAAAAGCCATAAGCTAATCCTATCTCCGAATCGCGACAATTACAATTAGGTCGTATAGATAAATTAATACTTAACTTTTAAACGCTCTATAACTTAGTTATGTTTTGTCGTAGAATAGAACATGTACGTTAACATAAATATAACGATTTTATTATTATTGTAAGAACGAAATTCGAAACCAATGTAATAAAGCCATTTATGCAATTTACAAAACAATTTTTACGGAACCGTTGGCTTCGAAATATTATGTTGTTAGAAACTTTTATATGAATATGTATCAAAATATTTTACAATCCCAATGTAAACAATTATCCTTATGATAATAAGTACACCATAACAATTTACTTTAAGTGATGATTGCTCAATTTTAAGAATGAGTGTCTATTTCGCTACTGGATTTTTCAACATAACAATAAATTTAATATCATTGAATTATTGTTTGAAATAATTG